TAATTTATCTTGACAAACTCTGTGTAATTGTAACTTCTTTCACAGAGAAGTGAAGGAAGTAGATGTAGATTTTCTGGCCAATTATAGAAATACGTGTATTATATCTTTTTAATGTATTTATTTAAGAAGAGTTGCTTATGCATGGCTAGGCACAGTTAAATTTACATTAATTATTAAATTTGTCGAAAAAACAATTCCAAAAACAAGTTATGTAGTATCATAACAGTATGTGTCCGATTCCTTTCCATACATTATTTCTAAACAATGAATTATGATAATTGGATTTTCGAAAATGAATTTTACGTCAATTTGACAATGCTTTGTACTGTGGTAATCAATTTAATGAAATGATATGACTTTAGCGTCAATTCAATGAACGCCCAGTCATAACCCTCGAAAATCAACTGATGAATCTTGCTTTATGTTTTACAAGTATACCTTATAGTATGAGAGTATGGTTTATGTCGACTATTTCATACAAACAGAATGATGGTGGGTTTTTGACACAAAAAGCGCGTTTTATCTCCTATCCCCCCAAGACATTGATGCTATGGGCTTACTAAACCGTTACATTGGTACTGTGTGTCAGTGTGTCTCCAAAGAAATCGTTTTTTGGTGTTTTTCTTATTGGACTGTCAAGAATCGGAAGCTTCATACATGACAGTCTAACACTTTGTTTCATGATAATATTATCTTAATTCTTTTGTGATATAGGCAACAATTATTCTAAATAAACCTACGCTGTTAGTTAGCTCGTTTCAAGGGTAGAACAACTTTGATTCCCGATGGGTTCCCCTATACTGAAGGGGCTACGCACACTTATGCTCTCTGGACCCCTGTGATATATCATAACAAAATAAAAGGATAAGTGTGTTCCGCTTTGTGGATGAGAAGACTAGTTTGATCAATTGATGAACAGCAAAAGAATCTCGCGGTCGCGTAACGGTAAACTTGACTGGCTTTGAAGTCGGGTACCGCTCCTTTGTAATCTTCAAAGGACAGGTATTAGCGTAGTGATTTGGCAGACTTCTTTTAAATCCTGAGACCTATCAAATAGCTAGCTGCGTAATTGAATTCCTCCTCGACACTCAAGGGGTGTCGCTCACTTTCGCTCTATGCACCCCTTGAATATGTCATAGCAAAACGAAGGCAAGAAGATAGCTTTTTGATTAGTATCAGGTAAAAAGAACTGACCTATCGTCAGGCTGGAACATGTTCTTTGAAGATTACAAAAGAGCGACAACCGACTTCAAAGCCTGTCAATTTTTACCATTACGTGACCGCGAGATTATTTTGATGAACATCAAAGGATCGAAATAGTCTTCTTGTCTCGTCCACAAGGTGGTGAACACTGAACCTTCTATTTTGCTTTGACATATTCCAGGGGTGCAGAGGGCGAAAGTGAGCGTAACTCCTGCTCGATATCGAGGATGAATTGAATTTTGCTGTAACACATTCCAGAGATGTAAATAGCGTTGGTGAGCGTTACCCCTGGAGTATCGAGGATGCGGATAGAAGAAGAACGATAAACATTTCATTTCCGGTCGGTCATTCAAATTGGCGGCCTTGACTTCAAAATGTTTGACATACTAATAGTTCATCTCTGTGCCAGAATTTGCTCCAATATTCAAACGTATGCTGGCACTGATGACTCTTTCAAATTCATCATTGGCGACAACGGGGGTAGCTTAGGGGAGCTTTGTTACATTTATGCTTAGAATTTGTTTTGCATCTTTGTGTTGGTGCCTTCTCGGCTTCACTTACCTGCTAATGAGTCCAAATGCTTAATTGTATGTTTTGTATAGGGGATTTCTTACGATACGTAACCCAAAACAATTATAAATTACTTGAATACTATATAAGTAATATTTTTTCACGATTAGTGATAAAATTCACACTCTAATAAAGTCAAGTTAAATAAAATTTAACTATCCAATAATAAGATGCATCGACGAAATCATTAGATTATCCCACTTTTCGTTTTGAATATTGTAAATAATATATGATTTGGGGGTTAAAAAAAAGGAGAAAATATTGCGCAGTAGGTAGTAGAACCATCCTTCAATAGTATTATTCTGTTTATGAAAAAAAAATCAAGTACTTTTTAAATCATGGATAAACAGCAGGAGGGGTTGTGTGGGGAATGTAGGGGGTGTTGATTCCCCCGAGAAGTGGAAGAAACACATCCCTGTTCTGTTCAAAAAAGGAACTATTACTAACGATAAATCTTTCACAGACTAGTACATTAAGTAACACCTTTTCTGTCAGTAGGATGAAGTTTTGTATAATAAATATCCCCCTGTGTACGGATCAGTACACAGATTCAGTAGAAAAAGATATGTTGGCTATCAAATAATTTGTTTTCTATGAAATTTAATATAGAGTAGAAGAAAGGGTTTAGAAAAGGAAATAACGGAGCACCTCCTTTTTTTCAATAAATTACAATTCATCTAAGTCATGGATATTGACGATACCTGTTTTGAGTCGCATCACATCCGGGTCATTATGGTTATCAATTACTTAAATCACACAGTTTGGGTGTTATGTGAACATTAAGAAAATCAATCTAGGTGTAGGTTTTCATCGGTTAGTAATTTGTGACTGCTAAAATATATTGGCCAGATTTTTAAAACTTATTACCATATAGACTATTAAGTGCAACCAAGTGAAAACTTTCACCTTCAAACGTTAACGTAATTATCATCTTTGAACCTGTAAAGTTTGTTTTCTTTTCTACGTGACTCTTTGACTTTCCTGTCTTAAAAATGTTAACAAATGTCCTGAATATCAAATTAAAATGATAGACAAAAGTGCGATTTATCAAATCGGTTCATTATCACATAAACTTCGGGAAATGTAATGGCTTCCCGTTGAAAACATATGTACCATGTATACATTTTCATAAGTATGGCAAATACATATTTTGCCCTAGTGCGAAACATGAGTAAAAATATTGGTATATTCTTATAATCAGCCATACGAGGGAAATACTGACGGTGTCTAACGGGAAAATATTAGATATTCAAATTTTAAAAATAAAAAAACGAAAGTATTGCTGCATGAAAAAGAGCAGGAATTTGTGGCGTATTATATAGGTGACTTATGGTTTAAATGACGTCACGCCTTACAACAACAATGAGTTACTGAACTGATGTCATCTGTTAAGATTTCCATACAAAACGTATAATTTGTGTAGCTACATATCCGCTCCGTTGGCCTTCAGCATTCGGACGTGATACATGTGCAGTATAGGTATAAACGTATGTCACTCGGCCCAAACTTGGGTTTGGAATCAAAATTGTCATACACTAACTTCAAATCGGTTCCTTCCAAATAGGAATCTTCTGAATTATATTTGATCCAATAACATACGTGTGATGCATTAGTACGGATAACTTCATTGTGAAAAAATAGAAGATGATGCATTTAAACTTTATCGAACGTCCAAGTCTGTTTCGATAGTATTTTAGACCAATTTGGATTCCCAACGTTTTGACCCTTTTCCTCACCGATGATTCGCGGAAGAACGAAACAGTTGTGCGATGAAGAGTGATTTATTTTAACATTGTGTTTCTACTATTTAAGTTTATAGGTGCAATATATTAGTCTTTGAGGTTTGTCGAAACCTCGATGGTCATTCTTTTCTCATTTGGTAGTGGCACGATGCATAATACAGTACGTATTTTGTTTTATTTGAAGTTCAGAAATTATGGGGCCTCAAGCACCGCCAATTATGTTTCAACAGTGTTTCGGACAGAAAAGGATTTCCACCTTTAAGCCTCAATCATCACCAATGAGTCATGAAAGGATTAAACAGCTGCTTTGTACGGTGTAATTAATTTCTGACATAATGTATCTCTTACCAAATGTTAAAGATGAATTCACGTATGTGTGTATGTGTGTAACGTTCTTTCTAGTTACACGTACAATATGATACATGTATATAATATGATAATGATAATATACAGCATTTGATATAGCGCCCTATCTAGCTAACATAAGCGACTCTAAAGCGCTTTACAGTACATAGATATACAATTAATACAATTATCATATACATTAATCAATACAATTTTGAGGAACTCGCAGGAGCTGCCTTATCAGGCACTAACTACTAGTCCTATGCCACCTTGCAAATATCTCCCTATGTGTGTATGCCTGCGTGGATACTGAGTTGATGGATATCTTAATGACCATAAGTACCATTTTGATTAGTAACACGTTTCATTCTACACACAGTTTCATATTTTGTTAATTTGAAACTAACCAGAACACTTTAAATTGTAAAATTGATAGATTAAAGGGCTTTACGCATATCCCCTCCTGTTAAATGAGTGGTTTAGACTTATACCTATAGACTTGTGGGTCCCTAGCTTCACCAATGAGTAATAGAATGACGAAACAGTTGTATTTTTTTATCAATTAATTTCATATATTAACTAATAATTCAGTATTGGCATTCTGAATCTATTACCAAGTTTTCAGGGTGAAAACACCGCTGTGTGTGTTTAACGCTCATCTTCCTGATCTTAATTATAATTGCCGTGTCAATGTAAGATCAAATGTTCTTTACTTCAATTAATTAATCAATTAATGAATTTATATTTATTTATTTATTAATTAATTGATTTATTGATTGATTGATGTTTGATTGATTGATGTTTGATTGATTGATTAATTAATTAATCATATTTTAACAAACAAATGCTGAAAAGAGACTTCATCAGATTATCTTAAGGTAATTTGTTGAATAACATCATGCTCGTTTTTCAACTGTAGGTCAATAGAAATTACTGTAAACAAGATATTTACGTGTTGGCGGTACATGTATACTCTGATACGGCCCATAGACTAAGGGATGTCCCGTCTCCGCTTCACACCCGTCTGACAAATTTTAAAAGTCCATTATGAACGAATAGCAATCTTTTCATCAAAGATAGCTTATGAGAAATTGGTATTTAAAGGGAAGCTCTGGAAGTGATTTTGACGTAGGTGAAAACGATTTTGTACCAAGACGTCGTACGAACCAGACACAATGCGTTTCCTTAATATTGATGTAGTGATTTTGGTTTTATTTTCAATGACAAAGACAGGTAAGTTACATTTTTATATAACATCTAAGCCTCTTGCATATGAAAGAAATAGAGACTTTTTTTTTTTTTATTATTATTTTTGTATATCTATCTATTATGGATTTTTGTTAGGTGAATACGTGGTTAAATGAGCCTGAGAAAGTGATATTGACCGAGACGAAGGCGAGGTGAATATCGCTTTCTCAGATGCAAATACTAAAACAAGACCAGACAATTTATACTTAAACGAGACTATACAATTTAACCTTAAACAAGACGACATAATTTATACTTAAACAAGACCAGACACTTTATCCTTAAACTAAACAACATAACATACACTATTACTAGACCCGACAATTTATACTTAAACTAAACCAGAAAATTTATACTTAAACTAGACCAGACAATTTATACTTAAACTAGACCAGACAATTTATACTTAAACTAAACCAGAAAATTTATACTTAAAATAGACGAGAAAATTTGTACTTAAACTACACCAGACAAATTATACTTTAAACTAAACCAAATAATTTATACTTTACATTGGTACATGCAGTTAACGGAAAACTGTGCCAAATTACATTGCAGTTCTCTGAAGATGGACAAAGAGATTGCTTTTTAAAATATTAAGAACCTGCGCATAGAAATAAACCTGCTACATCTGGGGTATCCCGACCAGTATTGGTCTAGTTACTATTGTTAGATGATATTAAATCTATCAACATTCACAAGAAATTTTAGTATAAAATTAAATTATCAGGGCCCGTATTCATGAAATCGTTCTCATGCTCAAGTATAAATTCTGTGTTAAAGCCAGCTTTCTTGTTACCCACCTAAATCATGTCAACGATCAAAAAGTCAAATTTTAATATCGAAAACAGTATTCGGCTTCAAGTTTCTTCAATTTTGTTCCAAAACTTTAACAAAATAAGATTTTTTAAATAATTTATAACTGGAACAAGAAATAAGATTTGAGCACAAAATCCATGCTTGAGCAGGAGAACGGCTTCATGAATACGGGCCCTGGTTTAGTAAAAAAAAAATGTCAATTTGTAAGGTATAAAGCGTTTTATAGACATTTTCATACAGAACATTTTAACATTTAATGTCATTCTTTTGATCACATGGTCCTCTTGTAAGTAAAATACATGTGTTAGATAAAATAACATATTTACGCAATCGATATATAAATAAACGTGGTAATCTTGCTATTAAAATGCATGTGTCATTTAAAAGATTAATATATATTGATGCAATCGACACATATAAAGTTATATCACAGCTATCTTAGTTAAGAGTATCACAGAATGCATTAAGTTACATGCAAAGGTATTTCATCAATTAAATGACATGCGCCTAAATTACATACATGCTATATTAGAGCAAACAATAACAATTGACGCAGTTATACTCTAATATAGCATAATCTAAAATATTTATATAATTCAGATAAAAACTGTATGTAGAAAGTAACATGTTTTGGTTACATGGAGAACCAAATTAAAATCTTAGACATTGATGTATAATAATTAGTAAGTTTTCGTTCGAAAGTGGTGAAATTGTCTATTTTCTTTAGGTCACTGGGTAAAACATTCCAGTCGTTGATACTGTCAATAAGGAAGTGTCTGGAATAAAAAAAAACCAACAGTTCTACGTTTTGGCACTTTGAAATTCTTTACAATAACATATCTTGTATTCCTACAGTGACCATGCATCTCGCACAACGGACACATACCTTGATAAATATTCAGGCACAACCTGATGATGACATTTATATAGCATGCGCAATCTCCTGTACCTCCAGTACTACTGTTGAGTTGTTATCGAACGGTTCAAGGGTCATTTGAGGCATTGAATAATTATTTGTTTGGCTTACTGAAACTATTTTTAATTTTGTGCTTACTCACTTCGTACAGGTATTTCTAATTATTTGTAATCATTTAAAAATATTTTAACAGTTAAATACAGATCTTAGCATCGAAATAGACATAATGCGCCTAACCAACTGTTCTAAATACGTTTTCAGTAATGTTAAATGGGTGAATGAAAGTGATGCAGTGAACCTGTGCATATACATACATAAGTAATCAACATTTAGAAACATCCAACCTTTCATTTTTCAACTGTTTATGATTGCTGCAAAAGTGGAATTTTTCGCTTTCAGTAATGTTCGCGTTTTGACTCTTTAAATTGATCGCATTTTGGAAATATTTGCGATATCAGTCGTTCTGAAATCAATATGTTCTATTTATCTTTAATCTTTATAATCCAATAATAAATATTCGCGTGTGGATATTTTCGCTTTTACTTACTTCATGACAAAAAGCGAACATTTACGCAACGCAAAAATGTCTTCTTCTTCAGTATCATAAAACAAAATTCACTTTTAGTATGGCAAGATTTCTGAATATGAATGCCAGTAAATGATCGTAATCACTGGTCCATATTTCATTTAAACATATTGCTATGATGTCTGTCAATTTAAATGAACAGATTTATTTAACTTTAGTTACAGTATATAGATTACATTTGTATCTCTTGGCTCTCAAAGACGACCACAATGGTTCAAATACTATTAAAAAAAATCATTTCTACAAGTTTTTTATGAATTGACTAATGTTAATGAAGAGATATTATTTCATCCTCAAAACTATAAACAGTATATCGCAAAATATGAGAGGACCCACACATGGTTTCAGTTTAGTTTAAACATACTTATTGCCAAAATTAAACAAGGGATTAGGCACAAGTTATAACAACTTATCAACGCCTTCTCCCAATATACATTTGAAATGACATTACAATAATGACAATAAATATATACAATTGTTATTACAATTTAAACTCAAAATCTCTTGATGGATTTAAAAATGTTTTGCACAGATCTAAAAATGTTTGAGTTAAGGTCTACGGAAAATTGTGAATTGCCAAACAAAAGAATTTCTAAATTTAACGCAACATTCATATTAATCAAAATTAAAACAGGGTTTTAAAAGACAAAGACACTAGTAAACAATACTAGTTATGCATTTTAATAAAAAAAATATATGATAAAGTAGGACGTATTATTTAAATAACGTTACTTCTTCCTTTCAGTTATTATTAGTTTATTGCAAAATAAAAGACTATAACTCCCACATACTTTTATGTAATTTGAAATTAAAAAAATATTAACAAAATAGGCAAAATCATTTTAATTGTGTCAACTAAGTTAAACTTGTGAAGGTGTTGTCTTATTTCTTTACATCTAGTGAAATGGCTTTCACTTAATGATTAACAATTCACCAAAAAAACCCACCGAAGCTGCATATCTGAGTGTAAGACTTAAAAAGGCGTGCATCTAATTTGAATACTATTTTGTATTTTTATTTTCTGTCAACAGTGACAACGCAGTTCATCAACTTACCAAGTAATATTACGTTACCAGAAAACACACCAGGAGGAAGCACCGTCTTTACAGTTATCTTAAGTGCGCCTGTGAATCCTCTCGACTATCTGATAGAGTATTATCCCACCAGTGCAGCTGACCTGTTTGCTCACGCTTTCGTCCCTAATGGTAAGCATAAATATGCCAACACATATCCTTGATATCCTGGGGTTACGCTCACTATCGTTCTCTACATCCCTGGAATATGTCATAGGAAAATTGAAGGCACGCCGCAAGCTATTTGATCGGTCTCAGGTAAAAATACCTGACCAATCACTAGGCTGATACCTGTTATATGAAGATTACAGAGAAGCAACGCCCGGCTTCAAAACGTGTTAGTGTTACCGTTACGCAACCTAACATCACTGTACCCAAACATGACACTGTTTAGATAAATATCATTGTTATTTATAACATAGTATCGCCTCCAAAAATGTTTGTTCGATTTTCATAAGTAGATACTATCCTTTTTATTTCTATATTTCTATTACTAGTTGGTATTTCTGGCGCGTGGTTCTATAGATAATATAAACTTTATTTATTTTACAACAATTATGAAACATGTTATTTCAACTTATATTAATCACTCTTGTTGGCTCGGATGTTAGAGCGTGGGGGATTTTAGTGTGGAAGGAAACCGGAGTACCCGGAGAAAACTCACGTGGTCGGACAGGTGACCCAAACCTTTTCACAAACGATCGAGGAATCGAACCCCGGCCGCCTTGGTGAAAGGCAAGTGCGTTATCCACTGCACCACCCGAAAACATGGCCTATAAATAAAACGCGATATACTATCAGGGTAATGTAGGCAATTTAATAGGTGTAGCTGTACCCTTGAAGGGACACTTTGGTATTTTGGCTAATATTGATGGATAAACGATCAATATCAGCAGAAAATTATACATAGTTCATTTGTTTTAGATTCGAAGGAGTTCTGAATAAATTTCCTCTCCAAACTGGCAATATTTTGATAAAATAGACTTTTAAAAATTACATTAAAATAAAAAGCGTCGCTATTATCATAACATAATATCATCATCATCAGCAGCATCATCATCAGCATCATCATCTCATCATTATCCATAGATAGTTTAGAATCTGTATCGTTATCATTATCATCTTAACATCATCCTCATCCTCATCATCATCCTCATCATCATCTCACCATTCATCATCATTATTTCATAAAATATTATAATATATCTTATGTGTCTGAATGAATCGCATCGTTCACTTGGTGGAGAAATAAAATGTTGTTTACTTTTCGCGCTCGAGTTTCAACTAACAGTTTACCCGTATAAGGAGCCTACACATGTATAAAAAGAAGTTCCAGCACATATTACTTGTTTTTGAGTGAAGACACTTGACTAGCAAAGGTGGTGAAATGTATAATGTACTACGTGGCGCTTTAATTTCATTTTGACAAACATATTCGGTTTTATTTCATCACATAATGTACTATGTTATCCAGTGAATATACCCATTTATTACATACTTACTAATAAATACGGGTTTTTTGTATATGCGATACGACACAATTGCTCTAACCCATATCAGCCCCCGCCGTATCACACCCCAAACCCGTATCAGTATAAGATTGTAGTTTTTATCAGTAAGTATGTAATAAACAGAATAAAACACACCTTTTTCCATATCCCACCCAGTATCAACCCTCGACCAATATCATCCCTCGGGCCTTCAGCCCTAGGGCTGATATTGCAGTCTCGGGTTGATACTAGGTGTGATATGGAAAAAGTCATGTATTATTCTCTATGTCATATTTTTTTGCGTAATATGACCTCTCAGCCCTGTGATTTGTTGTGAGCTTCAATTGTTTTAATTGTTACGTCTCGTCTAGGACAAGTACATAACGTCACAGGCTTATGCACTGGAGTCAAAATGTCGGCTTTTTTTTTTACATTTCAAGGTTGCATGAAAATTGTCGTTTTACACGAACAAATGCCGCAAATCTCGGTGATGTAATAAAAAGGATCTTACACTCGTTATCATTTCATATGAAATTTAGGAAACTCGTCACGATTTTTTTTTAGACTTTTTCATAAATCTCATTTGAAATGGAAACTTGTGTAAGATCCTATATGTATATTAATATTATTTCTAGCGATAGATCAATAAATTTGTTTTCATAACAACATTTAAAGTTGGCGAGTTTATGAGTAAGCTATACACAACGGAAATGTAAATAGTGCGATTATGATTACACGCTGATGTTGTTCCTATAAGTAAATATTTGATGTATTAATAAAAACATCGGTTACTAAACATAACTTATATGTTCCATAACACCTTGCAAGTTGTCCATGTCATCGCTTACCTTAATCATATCAAACAGGTGTCGATGTATCTGTCAGGATGGGCGCCATTTTGGATTTTGAAACCCTTCCAAACCAGTACCGAATCAATGTGATTGACCTAGCCGCTACAGACGGTTCGGGTGAAGGGGAATTGCGACCACCTCCTCTGGCTAAAAAACGACAAACGGAGTTGGGTAACTTTGTTATGGGCGTCCTCACCATTAACATCACCGATGTTAATGAACCACCAATCTTTAACGACGCCACATATTCTGTCACTGTACTAGAGAGCAAGGTAATGACCATGTCTTTTAAATTATCTATTCTTTCTTACGTTGCAAAGTTCTGGGTTATCCAAAGTATTGAAGGAAGGCCTGATAATTTTATTTCATCCTTTTTAAGATATAAAATTAAAAACAGATTAAGAAAAAACGTATGTAGCACAAGTATGATGATTTTGTCATTGTGAACATTATACATGTGGTTGTATTCAACTTATTAGTTATTTTGACAGTACAGATGTATGCATTGAGAGAAATTCTTCAGACCTGAGTTAAGAAAATATGATAAAACACATAATGTGAATTGGTTTATGTAGCACAACCGAAACGTGTAAATTAGTGACGTTTCGATGACATACGCTTACAGCGTAGCTGAATCGACATCAATTCGATGACAACTCGTACATATTTTACACTTCTGTGTATTCCGTCTTTGCGTATTGTAGACTTATCTTCTCTTGTGAGCAGGTATTGGTTGTTACGTCATTGGTTTGTGAGAGTAACGTCATCAATTTTTGAGAAAATTTCGTAATTTTCTCACACAAACCAATGACGTAACAATCAACACCTGCTCACAAGAGAAGATCACTCTGCAATACGCAGAGACAGAATAAACGCTGCTTCACGAGTCATTTCTCTGATAAAGGTGACGGTGTACATACCGTACTAGTCATCGAATCGTCACATAAAAAAACTTACCAGGTTTCCTACATTAATCTATTCATAATACTTACCTACCAACCTGAAGAATTTTTTTAAAAATAAAAGACATATATATATTTTTAAATTGGCAAAAAAACTTTCCTCTTTCGGGTAGGAAAAAAGGTCAAACAGTGTATAAAGATAGCTTGTGAAAATGATTCAAAATTTGGACGATAGCAAGCACTGTCAAAAAACTAAGGTTGACTTGTATGTCTCATTCTCTTATACCTATTTTGATTATTACCAGATTCCTTTGGACCCGTTTGTACGCCTACCCTCGCCTGCTTTCGATGCAGATGTGAACGACACTATAACTTACGAAATTAATAGCATTTTCCCTAACATCAATGGTAAAATTTTGGCCATAAACCGCACATCAGGAAATATCAAACTTTTTGGAGAGTATGACGTTGACAACAACGTTCACCCAGATGTACTGATCATCACCGTAAAAGCAGTCGATGAATCTGGTCTATCCAGCACCGTGATGCTTTATGTTAATATTTTGGACGTAAATGACAATGATCCCGTGTTTACGGGAACCGGAAATTACGTCATATTACTTCCGTATGATTACGCAGGAGTCAGCGGAACTGAAATAGGATACGTCCATGCTGATGATGATGACGGAACGGATATTGTTTCATACAGTCTGGCCACAAGAAATACATATTTCAGCGTAAACAGAAACACTGGATATATTCAGCTCACGAATCCACTTCCGGTTGATACGATAAGTTCAGGAGTGTATCAATTTAACATTCGTGCAACTTCCTTTTCTTTTAATAGTGAGGGCAGCGCCGGTAGTGCCATTGCCAGCGTCAAGGTGTTTGTCGTGCCATTTTGCACTGATGAGGAGGAGAATGGCTGTAACCTTTGCAATGAATCTTCTTCCGACAAGACTAATTCAACAAGTCAGACAACGTTACCACCACGAGTAAATGCTGGAAGTCGAAGAAAACGAGCCGAAGGAGATAGTACTGTAAACACATGTCCGAAAACACTATGCTCACGTTGCCATGCCTACCTATCTGAAACGTGTTTGTCGGGTACAGTACCCCTATCTACCCTTGGGAACTCGCCCACTTGCTCGACGTCACAGACTGGTGACGTAAGCTCTGCTAACATCCGAATTTGCTGGATACTACCCCTGGTGATTACGGTAGCCGTAGCGGCTGTCATCATTGGCTGTTGTTTGTACAAGTAAGTCTGTAGCTCTTTACTTACTACTAGCTCGGGGGTAGGGGTGGCTGGGGAATGGGTTAGGGATGGGGTTATTGGGAGGATATCATCCTCGATACTCCAGGGGGTACGCTCATTTACGGTCTCTTAACCCCTGGAATAAGTCATAGCAAAATTGAAGGCTCAGTGTGCGCCAAGTTGTTGATGAGACAAGAAGACTTGTCCGATCCTCTGATGTACATCAATAGAATCTCGCGGTCACGTAACGGTAAATCTTACTGGCTTTGATGTCGGGTGTCGCTCCTTCAGAGGACATTTATCAGCCTAGTGATTGGTCAGGTTATTTAAACTGACACCAATCAAATAGCTAGCAGCGTGCCTTCAATGTTGCTATGACATATTCCAGGAGTGCAGAGAGCGAAAGTGAGCGTTACCCCTAGATATCAAGGAGGAGAGGATATACAATCTGGTCTGTCCTGCATGTACAGCATGATTGTCCGGTGTGACTTTGTCATCCACGATAGTCCAGGGTAACAAGCGGGCGTTCTTCTCACACTTGAAATATGCCTTGTTTGAATCAAACGCTCTGTAAGTGTTCCCTTGCGGATACTACGAGACCAGTTTGATCATTTTTTTTTATATAAATATCAGAAGAAGTGTGCTGTAGTGTAACGCTAATACAATGAACAATCTGGTGTCGCTCCTTTTTGATCTTCAAAAGATAGGTTTCAGCCTAGCTTTTAGTCATTTTTATTTCCTGAAACATATCAAATAGGCTGCTGCCTCCCTTCGCCTATCCTCGATATCCAGGGGAGTACACTCACTTTCGCTCTCTACACCCCTTGCATATGCCATAATGAAATTGAAGGCACGCGGGCTAGCTATTTGATTGGTGTCAGGTAAAAAAAACTCTGACCAATCATAGTCTGATACTTGTCCTTTGAAGATTACAAAGGAGCGACGCCCGACTTCAAAGTCTGTCATTTTTTACCGTTACGCAACCGCGAGATTCTTTTGATATACATCAAAGGACCTAACAAGTCTTCTCGTCTCATCCACAAGGTGGCGCACACTGAGCCTTCAATTTTGCTATGACATATTCCAGGGGTGCAGAGAGCGAAAGTGAGCGTAACTCCTGGATATCGAGGATAGCCTTCGTCCTATTGACGCATCAAGTATATTCCTTACTAGTGGATATAAACCAAACCTAGGGGAAAGTGTTAGCATAGTAAGGGTCCTTAACTGATTCCTATCATTTTAAATCAGAAGGCATACGTGTTAATAAACAGTAGCCGTAAAAAGCTGAAGTATCTGTAGCAACAATATAGTTATTAGCTTTGTCACATATTGTATTATCAAATTATTATAATATTCATTTTTTATATTTATTAGATTCCTTTATGTTTCCAAAGGAACATTTTCTAGGACATTTATATTTTATTTCAGATTAATATGCCATTAGCAACTGATCGGTATTTATTTTCTCCACAACAGCCAGAGTCATACATTGTATGGACACGAATGGCTATGGAAACATCTAGCAAAATAAGTGTTTCAATGGGGACATCTCGAAAAATCCAGTAATAACGCCCATTTACGTTAGTGCAGAGAGTGTGAGAGAGAGTAACATCTGAAATTTTGAAAATGGATCGATCTCGTATGGAAATTCATTATTTCTTTATTTGTTCTGAAGGTCATTGGTTTTTTTACCTTGCTCACTAATGTGCCTTTAAGGTTTGTTGTCATATACCTTGTTCTCGTTACGAGGACGCGACATTTCTCGGATTTGACCTAGATGGCGTCTTTCGTCGAGTGGTTAAGGCGTCCGACATTCTGCTACCTCAAGCCCTCCACCACTTGGTCGGGGGTTCGAGTCCTACGTGGGGCAGCCGCCAGGTACTGGCCGACGGTCGGTGGTTTTTCTTCGGGAACTCCGGCCTTCCTCCACCACCAAAACCTGACACGTCCTTAAATGACCATAGCTGTTAATAGGACGTAAAACACAAACAAACAAACAAACAAACCAAAACCGTCAATAAAGCAAACGACACTTACAATGTCAGGACATCTGGTCCTATTTCTTGTACTTTTGCAATTGTCGCCATGCTTATCTTTCCTTTGTTCATATTTTGCCCAGTTTTATCGAGTTTGAGATCAAATTACCGATTTGTTGATAATTATTCTCTTGCTGGGTTTTTTTTACTGAGAAATAACCATTTTAATTGCAGACGACAACAAAAAAACAAGAATAACCGCGTGATTGACATTTCCAACTCCAAAAACACGACAAAACCTGACGTCATCACAACAATAGAGCCTACCACGGAGTTGGGCAACTTCCGGAAACCTGTTGTTATCCAAGGATGAAATCTACAAAATGCGGAATGGTCAAAGAAAACAGGTGATTGGAAGAAAAAAGAAATTTGGATTGTTTATTTTTAACGTGGCGTGTTGATTTTTTTTTATTTGCATGATACAAATATAAACACTATTTATTCTCCAACAATTATGAAACAAGTTTTTGAAACTTCTACTTAACACTCTCGTTTGCCCGGATGTTAGCACGCGTCCTACTGTGGGAGGAAACCAGAGTACCCGGAAACCCCGGTCAGGCAATAATTACACAACCTCAAAAATGCCATTCTCGATACTTCAGGGGTCTCGCTCTATACACCCTGGCATATTAATATGTCATAGTAAAATTGGAGGTACGCACCAAGATTTTTTAATTGGCTTCCTGACCGTCATCCTCGATATCCAGGGCTTACCCTCACTTCTGTTCTCTACACCCCTGGAATATGTCATAGCAAAATTGAAGGTTCGATGTGCAGAACCTTGTGGACGAGAGGAGAAAACTTGTTCGATCCTTTGATGAACATCAAAAGAATCTCGCGGTCACCTAACGGTAAAAAATTGACAGGCTTTGAAGTCGGGCGTCTCTCCTTTGTAATCCTCAAAGGATAGGTATCAGCCTTGCGATTGGTCAGGTTTTTTTTTACCTGAGACCAATCAAACAGCTATCTTCATGCCTTCAATTTTGCTATGACATATTCCAGGGGTGCAGAGTGCGAAAGTGAGCGTAACCCCCGGATATCGAGGATGCCTGACCATTTGCTAGGCTGATATCTGTCCTTAGGAGACTACAGAGGAGCGACAACCGACTTCAATGCCAAGCCGTGCAGTGAGTTTCATTTTCGTAAAAGACAAATTGTCTGAAAAATCGTCTTTTATTCAGAAATAGAAACATCGCTTTCATTACCTTTGTTGTGAATTCGGAACGTCATTGCATAATGTCGTGACGTCATACTATGCGTTAATGTCATATTGAATATATCAAAAATGTTTCTAATGACTTAAGTTTTGTTGATCAAAATGCACGCCTGGCTGTGTGCTTTGATGTGCCTTGAATCAAGAAATCACACCAAGTTAAATTTCAAAATTTTCTCTGTGGTGAACTCTTCTGCAAAGGAGGTACATATGTAGCTATAGGTATGACAGAGCATTAAACTGTTGTACTTTATTATTGTACTATAGCTATGATGATCAAGACAATATCCATGTAAGCAAACAATCTGACGGGATGGTTTCCATTTATTTTTTTTAGTTGATAGTCTTCTGTTGTGTTTTCCATGTAAATAGCCGTACAAGGGAGACAACTCCTGGTAATCTATCAAATTATTTACGTGTATGCTTGTTGATAAGAGACTATCATATTTAAAACTCATATTTGTGATATTAAGTGACTTGAACAAAATTGGAAAGGACAAAAATAATTGTTGTATATTCCACAATCATTTTGTTTATATCTATTTTTTTCATCCGTGCTTCGCTGAAGATTCACTATATTTCTGTTATCATTCTCAGAAAGAAAATAATTATTATTTTCCCTATCGTTTTACCCCATTATCATGATATTTTTGCTCAAAGTTATATTTCTGATATTTTCTATTTAATAACGGTACTCTAAGTGATGTTATTTATTTTATATCTTATTGCGGTACAATTCATGATATACCATGCGTCTGTACCGGGTCTTTCCACAATGTATCAATCTTACGTTTTCATTCGACGAAGAAGATTTATTAGTTCCTGTTGTTCAACTGGCCTACTTTAAGGTTTGAATTTCATTTTGAGGATTTTTGATCAGTGATTTAGGTGACAGTCACACCCAACACAACCGTTCTTTAGGTGCTCAATATCCTTTTATAATAAAGCACATTTTAAGAATTAGTTTTGTATGCCACCATTTTTCTGAAAACAACCTACACCTGAAAGGAGCACTCTTTTAAATCGAACGTTCAGAATACAGTGATTTTTGTTTATTTTACATAAAACAATGCCGACGATGTCGAGAAAATAAGCATTTCAAATGTCTTTTGCATTTTGACTATATGACATCATGATGACATTTTCCTCTACGAAATTGTCTCCTGCAGAACATCTGAAGAGATCAAAGACAATGTCCGTGGTTTTGTTAATTTTGTTTTTCTACACATTGACCTTTGTTGTACCCATAATGTTATTAGGGGTCAAGATCAGCAGCCTCGTTTTGAAGCAATACACTTTTTACGTTATATTGTCGTTTATCCGTCCATTTATTTACTTAGATACGTGTTATTGAAATGGCAATTCATCTTTCTGTTATTTACTTATTTTTTGCTCTGATTTATTTCCACTCATGCTCTGTTGTTAGAAATGTCTTAATGTTTAAATTTCCACTTCCGGTACTTCATATGAGATTACATAGAAATCGGTCATAGATTGAAATCATTTAAACCTCTTTTGTAACTGCTGATGAATCCTTTACATCTGTCAAAATGACGCTTGATGGTCTTTTTCAAATAGCTCGGTGAGTATATATGAATCAATCGCTTTATTGACTAAGATTGTTGAAGTGTTGCAAGGTTAGCATCGCTCATTGTTGATATGTTCAAAATGATGAATGTTTTGGTGGTTATTTTCCTTCATGATCTCTACTTGCAAGCGACGGCGCTTTTTACTGGCACGGCTGTAAAAATACCGATCAATCTCGCAACAATTTATAACTAACTGAATTGCTTTATTTTGAGGAAAGCACATTTTGTTTTTTTTAGAATCATATGTCTATTGGAAATTATGTATAATGCCGTCCATTAATTTCAGTGTTTTATTCATGTTATTAGTTGTGAGGATTTAAATAAACATCTATTAAACATCAAATTACATTTGTTAGCGTTGTTTTTAATGTTATTGAATTTAATACATTTCAAAAAAAGTTGTATTTAAATGGAACTGTCACACCTGGGTATAAATAACAGGTAACATCGCAGGTACAGGTAACACAAGTTAACAAACACACGAAGAAAACATACAGGTACATTATGCGACATTATCAAATAGGTTGCATTAACATACAGGTAAATTTTGTGTTATATGAAATTAAGGGACATTTTTATTTAACCACAGTAAGCATTAGATATAACAATACGGTTGACGTAGCAATTAATTTCACAGGCAATAATTTCACAGGTAAAATAACAGGTAATACTTTCACAGGTATCATTACAGCAAATAATTTCATAGGTGTTCTACAAGTTCTTTATCAGCCAAAAGCCCTTAGGCATATAGGTACATTCAATTAAATTAAACTTGTTTTCCTTAAGTTTGAGAACTTATTGGATAACTATAATTTACAATAAATTACAAATGAAATATACATATCTGTATAGTGCATTCAACAGTCATTAACGCTCTCACCTCCTCCTCCTCCTCCTCCTACCCCCTCCTCCTCCTACCCCCTACTCCTACTCCTACCCCCTCCTCCTCCTCCTTCCTCCTCCTCCTCCTCCTACCCCCTCCTCCTACCTCCTCCTTCTCCTCCTCCTCATCAACAGCAACAATATGTAAGTTACATAACCCGTTATGATCCAAACATACTCTAAATGCCAATAATACATACATAGACATTTATATAAATCATATTTATATGCATGTTTTACGTCACTCGTGCCTTATTAGCCTCAAATATATATCTAGCAAGTTTACGAAGATTGCTGATATTGTCAACATTTAGTAAATATACAAGTTTATACATGGAAGGATTTCGCCAGTAATATGCATGGTTTTATGTATTTTACTCTCAGACTATGGTAATTTCTGCATACATATATACATATAACGTTCTCTAAACATAATTAGAATAGACAGGAGAGTGACATCATAGTATACATAAAACACCATTCAATAATGTGCATATAACAATACTTAATTAACACATTACAGTTATGGTAACATTACAGGTAATAATTTTTCAGGTAACATTACAGGTGATAATTTCACCGGTAAAATTACAGGAAATAATTTTATAGGTAACATTACAGGTGATAATTTCACCGGTAAAATTACAGGTATTAATTTTTCAGGTAACATTACAGATAATATTTTTTCAGGTAAAATTACAGGTAATAATTTTTCAGGTAAAATTACAGGTAATAATTTCACAGAAAATGCTATTGAGTGCCAATAATAGCATTGTCGTTCCGCGCAGTTGAAAGTAGTTCAAGTATATTTTTTTTATAATAAACAGTTTTAAGTGCAATGAAAAAAATAATGATGACAAAATAAACATTTAATATTTATTAGTTTAGGACATTTTTCAATTTCTTCCACATGTATTCGCCTTACTATATTCATGCTTTAAACAATGTCATACAGTGTAGGTTAAACACTTTTTCATGCTTATAACCACTTATATCAATGCTCTGTCTACAAGACCGTCATAGCTTGACAAACGGACCAATCGGTGCTTTGGCTTTCTTATATTTTTTTATTTAATTTTTCTTGTTACAGCACTGTTTAGTTTTCTTTTTAGAACAGCGATTGATGGTGAAAAAGAACTGGTAAAAACATAAGATAATAGATCAGCCCTTGCTACATTTATGCACATCCGGGAGTAAATATAAAGTAAACAGTTGCCATCAGCTGTTGTCATTATTCCGTTCAAATAATCCAGCTCTCATCGACAAATCCATATCCAGATGTCACACATCCTCGTAATACAAAGGACCCGCCCTCAATAATTAATAATACAAATAATTCGAGGTTCTTACAATGTATATACCGCTTTATCACAAGCTAGTTAGTAGGTCGTCTTAAAGCGGTTCATAAATTATTATCCGTGGTTATAGGGGTTTTGCAACCAGCCAATATATTTCTCAACTCCCTTGGGAGTCCATACAAACAGTGCTACCATTGTTAAGCTCGCAGCTAGCATTAAACAATCCCAGCACTGCCCAACCACGTACTCATTTACAGCTGTGTAGACTGGAACAAGAGAAGTAAAGTATATTGTTCAAAGATACAACACAGTACCGTGACTCGAACCCACAACCCTTCGGTAACGAGCCCGGCGTCCTCAACACACATACATCGTTTCTTTTAACCCGTTATGTTATGATATAATCAAAGACTCTTAACGCACGCGACATCTTGCGGATGATACAAGCAGACTAGTCTGATGTCTTTGATGAAAAGTACCGTACAAGAGGCGCCGGACGGCGTAACGGTAAAATAGACAGGCTTTAAAGCTGCTGAGTGAAACAACGAAATGACACATGTACAACTCACGATGTTACTTACTGTATGAAGGGAAGTAACTCGTGTTAGCTTCGTTAACATGTTGCGTGTGTAAGGTGATACAATGTATTACGCCATCTCAAATACAGATCGAAAAGCAGAGCCGTTGTTATAAGTACACTGTATGACCATTAGCTGTCAGAACATTCATTATAAGAGATGCATATACACGCCGCTTTGATGTTAAACGAGGCCTGTCGCCTTTTTAAGATGTATAATGTATTACTCTTCAGAATGTTGACATCTTCAAAAAGCAAATTCATATTAAAAAAAATAAAAATTGCCACCCAATCCAAAAACAGACAAGAATTAAGCGCACAAGTGAAATGACGGGATAAATACCAAAAACGATCATAAATGGCTCTGCCGAAAACGCCAGTCAATGTTTTTGTTCAGTTTTGGAACACTGCTATTTTTTTGTTTGCTTGGTTTTTTTTCAACACAATTTCCAAAATTCGTTCAGTTATTTATGTATGACCGAAAAAATACATTTACTGAGTTTATTGTGTATACATATGGTTACAAATGTTCATGCCGGTAGGAACGCAAATCGGTTATATACATATTCCATGAAACTAAGGGCTTCATGGTTAATTTTACGTTCTAAGATTCATAGCTATTATTTCTTTAAATATAGGTATTCCCTTATATTTTCGATACTGAAGCGCCTGTGTCGTCAGTGCAAATGACATTTCTGTGACAGCCTGACGTCACCAAAGTGTTTGCTCCTAACGATTGTCTCACGTATTCGAATTAATAGAGCTGAAAAACCATATCTGAAGGCACCCAACATAGTATGGTACGCGGAAATTTGTTTTGATAAAACACAGGACAAATATCATAATCATATGCCACTGGATTCTTTGAACAATGACGTCTTAATTGTTTAGCACATTTTGCCAAGTCACAAACAAAATAGAAAAATGTCAAATTTCGACTTTTTGGTTTTGAACAAGAAGTGTCATTGAGACCATGTAATTAAACATATATATCAATCATATGAAATAGGTGCTACCCAAAGGCGAACACTTAATACAATTATACTGTATTCATTTTAATTCGTTGAATAAATTAGGGTAACCACCTGATAATAGTTTAAGAGTAAGCATTAATATTTTAGACGGTATCGCATCGCACACAGAGGTTCATTTTTGTATTGAAAGCCGCTGATACATTATATAGTATCCCTATGCAATGTAGCATGGGTCATAGTTCAATTCGTATCATAATTACTATATGTGTTACGGTATGTATCGGTATATTATGTTAAAGAGGACGTTAGCCGATTTAGTTATGTATACCAATGTAACAGGAGAGGACAACTGCACGACCAGGCCGGGGTTCGAACCCGGGACCCTCCGAACACTAGACGGACGCTCTACCAATTAAGCTATCTGGTCGCCGACGATCGACCCAGTCCAGTTCCGCTATATTACTCACTCCTTTTTCATAGTCTTCGGCCCCGAAGACACAACTATACACAACACAGGTTCGGGTATCCCCTTGTCAAGCATACACCAAATGCTTGAAATAAGGGTATGTCACAGGCATCACAGTAAAAGGTGAGGAAAAAAGCACGTCCAAACCGAGGTTTGAACCCGGGACCCTCCGAACTCTAGACGGACGCTCTGCCAATTTAGCTACATGTACATGTATCTGGTGGCCGACGATCGACACAGCCGAGTTCCGCTACACCAGTTTAAACGTTACCATCTCTTGCCACGTGGAGCCTTTTTCGTTTTTATTCTTAATCATCAAATGACAACATCAAAAGCAAAGTTGCAGAATATAATTTTTTTTTTTTATTTTTATTTTTTTATTATAAAATGTAGACCTCTGTTACGATGAATATATTGGTATTAACAAAAACACATTTATTTATTGTTTGTAAATTTTTCAGAAAAACAATGGGTGTCTGTTTTTGCCAAAACTTTCACTGAAAACTGATACGTCCCGAATGATTGTACCGACTGATGTGGTCGTTCGTTAGCCGCCATGTTGCCATGAATTATACAAGTGATTCCCAACCCTATTCACTATAGTTACACGGGGCGACACGTTAAGTGTTGCCGGGCTGACGAACTAAACTGAAAGTGCATGCATTGGTGAGTGTCTGTTGGTTTATATGGAATATCCATGGTAATTTCATTGTTCTTTTTTTACCGGGTTGTCTAAAAGTCGAACTGCTTCATCGTTTGTTTATATTGAGATGTTAATACCCAGTTTCACGGAGTTGATCATTCCACTTAATTCTATTTGACGTCCACTTAATTCTTTTTGACGTTCGTTTGTGTAACTTTGTTTCAACATGGTTAAGACATTTTTTGTATTTCCAACGGTTTTGCCCCTAGCCTCACCGATGAGTCATAGGAGGACAAAACACATGTATGATGCAGTGTTATCAATTCTTTGCATATCTATTACAAAAGTCTAAAGGTGTAGTCACTTGTGTGTTTATTACGTTGATATTTACATTTTTGTCCAGGTTTTTATAAAGAACATCAATTAATCTTTATTCCAAAAAAGTTCTTCCGTTTTACTTTATAGTAAGGTTTCCAGGAATTAAGTCTGAGTGTTGCATATGTTGAGATCTACTTTTGTGCCCATTATTGCACCTTTCATTCAAATATAATATTCATCATGAATGTGTTTTGTTTTCACGTATTATTTCCATATCGTTCAGTATAAATTGCTTATTAAAATGGTTATTGGTATTTTCCGGAAGTTTTTCAACCCAATGTTTCACCGCCTGCCGACCTAGTTCCATGAAGATGTTGGTGTATAGGTTCACAACACCAAATACAACCTGTTGCGAGTTGTTATCCATCTTCTGTGAAATGTGTCGTAAGAAATCCAGAGCATCACGAACAAAGCTCTTCAACTCAGTACGTAAAGCTTTTAAAAACATATCTAATATATTACTCAAATCTTGTGTGGGCGCATCTGGTGTTCGTACCATTGGTCTTAACGTAGGATCTTCTGGATAGTTGCATGTTACATATTATTTGTTTTGGAACTAAATAGCCTCCTGAAGTTTTGTTGACTTGTAAATCTTTCTTTTTTTTATATTTCATTCGTTCGTTTGTACATTAATTTCTTTATATTTCATTTGTTCGTTTGTACATTCCTTTATGCATAACATACATACATACATACATACGTACGCACATACATACATACACACACATACATACATAAATACATACATACATAAATACATACATACATACATCCATATTAATAATTGTTATTGAGCCATCTTCCATCAAAGATGAAAGATGTCTCAATAACAATTATTAATATGTATGTATGTATGTATGTTATGTATGTATATGTACGTACGTACGTACGTACGTATGTATGTATGTATGTATTTATGTATGTATGTATGTATGTGTATGTATGTATGTATGTACGTAAGTGTGTGTGTGTGTGTGGGTGTGTATGTATGTATGTGTGTACGTATGTATGTATGTATGTTATGTATGTATATGTACGTACGTACGTACGTACGTATGTATGTACGTATGTATGTATGTATGTTATGTATGTATATGTACGTACGTACGTACGTATGTATGTAGGTATGTATGTATGTATGTATGGATGTATGTATGTATGTGTGTATGTGTGTGTATGTATGTATGTGTGTATGTATGTAAGTACGTTCGTATGTATGTATGTATGTATGAATGTATGTATGTGTGCGTATGTATGTATGTGCGTACGTATGTATGTATGTATGTATATGCGTGCGTATGTGTGTGTGTGTGTGTGTGTGTATGTATGTGCGTACGTATGTATGTATGTATGTTATGTATGTATATGTACGTACGTACGTACGTATGTATGTATGCATGTATGTATGTACGTATGTATGTATGTATGTCTGGGTGTGTATGTATGTATGTGTGTATGTATGTATGTATGTACGTATGTACGTACGTACGTATGTATGTACGTATGTATGTATGTATGGATGTATGTATGTATGTACGTAAGTGTGTGTGTGTGTGTGGGTGTGTATGTATGTATGTGTGTATGTATGTAAGTACGTTCGTATGTATGTATGTATGTATTTATGTATGTATGTGTGTGTATGTATGTATGTATGTACGTATGTACGTACGTACGTATGTATGTATGTATGGATGTATGTATGTATGTACGTACGTACGTACGTACGTACATACATACATACATACATATTAATAATTGTTATTGAGACATCTTCCATCAAAGATGAAACAAAGAAACTAATATAATACTATGTTGAATACATTAAGACTTGTAAATCTTACGTTATCTATAACAGCAAATTACCGCGAGCTCTAAATTGGTTGGATAGTCTCGTTAATAAGCACTTTAACTGTTATACAAACCCAATGAAAGAATTCATAAGCATGAATATCAGATGTATGTACAAGTTTTATCGTGTCACTGCTATGTCAAAAAAGTGGGTAGGAAGATCGTGACTCGTTGAAACTCTGTTATTGAAAACGTTTTCTAAACATGTAAAATCAGACATAAAATAATATAAAAAGTAGTTGACCAAAGGAATCGGACCAGATATCACAGCAACCTTTACGCTAGTCTGAGCAACCTAGAACAAAATTTGAGATATAACACCAATGAAACTAAACGAACTCAAAACTAAACACAAGCTGACTAGACCATGTTTTATAATATACCTAGTGAACGCGATAAGGGTCGAATGACTGTGCTCAGGATCACGATACACGCCTTTCTTTGGATAAACAAAAGCTTAGCGAGCGTTTTGAATAGTGTAAAACACACAGGTAAGGTATCTGGAGAAAACCCAGTCGAGGCCTGAAACCATTGCTAGCTTACTTTCTTCTACCTTTTTCATTCATTTTTTCCAACAAAAATAACATTCATGCTGCTTCTGTTTTTCAAAGAACAATCTCCATATTATACCTGTTTTAAACATAAGTTTGGTATTGCTCCATTCCATTTATTTATCAAAAATTATCATAATTAAATAAACAATTGTTGATCGATAATGATCTAGTAAAGATAACTTAATAATCAAGATAGGTTTGCTATAGGCAAGGCATTCTATTTATATACATGTATAAGATAATGTGGTTTTCATTCGAGACTGTGACAACTGCCAGATGTTGCCAGGAAATTATTAAAATCAATATTTCTAAATCGAATTCTACAGCTACAAAAGAACGAGTTTGCATTGAAGCTGACTAGCCGTTCGATCTGCCAGGTCCGGGATATATGGATGGCTACAGTCAACAATCGAATGAATATTTAAACGCTACATGAGTGCTGTGTTGACTTTCAGTGAGTATAGAACGCTGAAGTTTCATATGTGTGCTGGGAAAACTCATATGGATATTATTAGGCGTAGGTGTACAACAGTAAATAGGAAAACACCATGATACTCTAATCTACTGAAGTGAAACGTTTGTCTGACACAATCTACAAAATTTAGCACACCTAAGCCCAGGTAGGTGCATGGGATTCATGGGATACGTAAACTTCATCATGACGTCAACGGAACGGGAACACGTGTAGATTCACAAGGACCATTGACGAACAAGCTTCAACAAACATATTCGTTGGATACAAACATACAGCTTGATATCGAATAAGGACCAACGTGGACCTTTAGCAGACGAACATTGAAACATATAAGGAAATACACTACGGGCAACTTTCGAGATACCTCTGCAGTCACTACACACTACTAGTAACAATGTTCCGTTGGCGGTTATTAAAAATGTAAGTATCATATAACAAAAAGCGGAATTGTTCTTCAATTAAAAGTAAATAACGTTAAAGCAGATATGCCAGGTTCTGACTTTCTGTTATATCTCAAACGAAGGACAGTTCCGATTTGTTCGACGTTTTTCATTCTTCCACTTACACAGAGTTTTACATGTATGTATATATATGAACATAGCGAACAACTCTGCGCATTTTTTAAGATTCATGCAGGTTTATTGTTCATTACAGTGAATTTTCAGTCTTACAACTTTCCTCTTCAGAGTGTATCTTCAATATAATTTTAAATAAATAACTGAAAATCTAGAGACAAAATTTCCATAATTTATTTCACCAGTTCCTTACTTACTGAAAATGGTTAAATAAAACAAGTATTGGTGAATGCATTGCAAAATGAATATCAGTTGAGTAATGTGAAAGGAAGTCGTTTTTACAAAGACTCTGTGGCCAGTAGTTTTCCATCATAGCGGTAGAATTAATTGACTGGAAGTATTTCCAGTGTCTACCTGTATTGCATAGGATTATTTTCACAGTGCGCATTATAAGTGGTATGCTATGCAAAAGGACAAATATTAAATACCTTTACGTCTGCTTAATAATAGTGTGCAAAGCTTTTATACGCGTTATTGTGTTTTTTTTGTATAAGTTGGAACACCTTACCTTACCCACTGGAGGGATTAAACAATACGAGACGACTGCATGTGTTCAGTGGTGCCTTTATTATAACTATGGGGTGTATGATAACGAAATACACGTGTGAGAGTTGTAAATGTACCGGCTAAACTGCATACATACATACAACAATGGACCTGAACTCAATACAATCAAAATCGTTACGGCGTCAACAAGTCGTGTTAGAAAAGAATACGCCTACAAACCGAACGGTTGTTTCAGCGTGTCACTCACTGTATCTGGCTCATCGATTGGTTGATAGAACGTTTGTCGTCCTTGTAATCAAAAGCAGTGTACAATTGTATCTTTTTCGGAGACTTGTTGTTTGCGCGCATTGTCAACTTACGATTACGCATACACGTATATGGAAATGTAAAATTTACATTGCATGTACATGTTTCAAGCCATGTGTCATGACTTGAATGTTTTGTGTATTATGTACTTATCCACATTTTCGTGAACTAGAATGGTATTTATGATTACAAGAGGTCAAAATGAAGAACATTACAAATACTTGAAAGCTGCCCATACCGGCCGCTGCACTTAGAGGTAATATCATAGAACGGTGCATGTTTCAAGCCACATACATATATATATCATATATACCTATATCAATTAATTGCCATATTATACTGTTTCGTTGAGCATATCCACATGCTATTGCGTACACAGGGACTTGACACGTTCCTATGACCCAGAGTGAAAAAAAATTACCTTTCATTCTGGGTCATAGGTGCAAAAAATGCATGAATTTTTTGATACCGGCAGCATATATTTGCCGGTATAAGTATTTCCTGTCTTGATAAAAACTGAACAGTTTCAATTGTAATTGCAATATTTTTTTAATATTGAATAAAAACTTAATAAAAATTAAAACAATTAGGTATAATTTTCCGGGGAATTATCTCCATGGATGTGGGTACACAATGTACTATCGGCACACAGGTTTTCTAACGTCACTGTACCCAAATCGGGACACTTTTTTGTTAAATATCAATGTTCTTTATACAATACTATAATATCAGTTCCAAAAATGTTTGTTCATTTTACTTAAAAAGATACTATCCACTTTACATTTTTATCACAATTTGATATTTCGGGCGCGTGGTTCTATAAAAAGAACGCGAAATACCATCAGAGTTACGTACGTAGGCCGTTGAACCGGCGTTACTGTACCCTGGAAGGGACACTTCCGGTATTTTGGCGAATATTTGGGTATAAACGATCAATATCGGCAGAAAATATGCATAGTTGAAATATGTTAGAGTCAACGAGGGTTCTGATTAAATTTCTTCTCCAAACTCTCATTAGTTTTGATAAAATAGACTTTTGAAAATGATACCCAAATAAATAGCGTCGCACGGTACGTAAATCAGGAAAGTCTTGTTTTCGTAATTATTCTTACCTTTAAATTGTTCAAGCTTAATACAGTTTAATTGTCATGAAAATATTCTCAAATAAAACTGTATACATAAAAGTACTTCTTTGCATTGAATGACAGTTTCTTGGGCCGATTGCACAGCTACTTTTATTATAAAATAAAATGTTATCCTTTTCGGGCAAATATACTTAAGCGAGTTGTCGAATCTTGCACCGTTCTATGATATTACTTCTCAGTGCAGCGGCCGGTATGGACAGCTTTCCAGCATGTGTAATAATCTTCATTTTGCCCTCTTGTAATCATAAACACAATTATAGTTCACGAAAATGTGGATAAGTACACATGCAACGAAACATGCAAGTCATGACACACGGTTTGACACATGGACATGCAATGTAAATTTTACATTTCCATATACGTGTATGCGTAATTGTAAGTTGACAATGCGCGCAAACAACAAGTCTCCGAAAAAGATTCAATGTTGTACAGTGCTTTTGATTACAAGGACAACACCGACCTCAAACGTTCTATCAACCAATTGACGAGCCAGATACAGTGAGTGACACGCTGAAACAACCGTTCGGTTTGTAGGCGTGTTCTTTTTAAACACGACTTGTTGACGCCGTAACGATTTTCATTGTATCCTCCCATTTGCAACCATTGGTGCTATCCGTTCAACAGAATATAATTTACAAAGCAATCAGACTGGTTAAAATACCAAATTAGTTTTTTTTATCATAAAACACCATTGATGAACAAATAGCATTATAATTAAAACTGCACAGGATTATCTAATTTTAGAATTTGCATGAATATGTGCCACAATATTCAACATGGGAATGTTCAGTACAGTTAAGGCCGTCGGCTTACATTAAGAGCCTAAAACAATCCACGATCATACAGTGGTCCATCTTCAATACTCCAGGAGTTACACTCACTTACGCTCTCTGCACCCCTGGAAAATGTCATAGCAAAATCGAAGGCTCAATGTGCAGCACCTTGTGGAGGAGACTAGTTTAATCCTTTGATATACATCAAAAGAATCTCGGGGTCGCGTAACGATAAAAAAAATGACAGGCTTTGAAGTCGGGCGTCGCTCCTTTGTAACCTTAAAAGGACAAGTATCAGCCTAGTGATTGGTCAGGTTTTTTTTTTACCTGAGACCAATCAAAACAGCTATCTTCGTGCCTTCAATTTTGCTATGACATATTCCAGGGGTGTAGAGAGCGAAAGTGGGCGTAACCCCTGGATATCGAGGATGACAGTGGTCACACACGCTCGCTTCTCACTGAAACATGTCATAGCAAAATTGAAGGCACGCTAGCTATCAGATTGGTCTCGGGTGAAAGAAAAAAACTGAGGTAAAGAAACCTCACAAATCGCTAAGCAAATACCTGTCCTTTGAAGATAACAAAGGAGTGACAACCGACTTTAAAGCTAGTCTATTGTACCGTTACGCGACCGACAGATTCTTTTGATGTTCCTCCAAACGATCAGACTAGCCTTCTCGTCTCATTCACAAGGTGGTGCACGCTGAGCCTTCGATTTTGTCATGACATATTCCACGTTGGTGAGCGTAACCCCTGAATATCAACGGCTCTCGCTCATTCTCCCGTTCTAGGCTCCAATGTATTTCTCTTACACTTCCCGAACACCTGGGCCCAGTTGTTCAAAAGATGGTTAGCTTAATCACTGTTTATTTTTCAACCTTTAATAATTCAGTCAGTATTCAGGGTAAAATCTCACAATTGTGCATGTATATTCACTCTACTAAAAAATTGATATCTGAGAAGTTATTCAATGGTTGTGTTTTAAAGTTACTCAAAAATTGAAATATGCGCTAATCACTGATAAAGATAATCACCTTTTGAACAACTGGGTCCTGGTCTTATTTTTCTTGTTCTTTTTCAAATGTCGCGATATCAGTGTTTCCCTGTTCCCATTTTGCCTGTGGTTAATTTATTTCGATTTCCAATTACGGTATTGGTAATGCAATGTAGTACCATGTACTCCTTCTTTAGACCTTCCTACTACAAAAAAGATAGCATCAAGTCCCATTTCATATATAAACCTATTTTACAGGAAGCTTGTGGTGTCGGTATGGATGGTATTTGTGCTCGGTTTGTCGCTTAAATTGCTACACGACACCTACCGGACGACGTACAGCACCAAAAGTATTTCACAGTTGGTTGAAAACCAGGATGTTTCGCACGGAAGTCACAGTCGATGGTCAGTATTCAGTAGAAGCAACAATACAATGGACGTTTATCTAGAAAAACTGAAACATTTTGCATTACAGGATGGATTCAAACAAAAAGAGGTACTGCTCCAACAAGAAGGCCCTAATGAACATAAGTTCAATGAAAGCAATACAGGTGAATTGAGTGATAAAAATTCTGCAAGAACTATAAAAGTCCACTATTTCAACAAACCAGATCACGTGTCAATTACGTCTTTCGCTAAATGCCCGGATGCATGCATAATGACATCAGGTGTTAATGCTGAATTTTCTACCAGCGATGCTGTGATGTTCCAAGGCCCACTGCTTAGTTATAGCCATTCTCGTCCTCCGGCCAAAACCCGAGGTCAAATCTGGGTGTTACATGGAAGCGAGGCCCCTGTGTATTGGAGCGGATCTTTGTCACAATGGCGGGGTCTCTTCAACTGGACGATGTCATACAGACGCGATGCCGATATCCGCCATTCGTATGGTGATTTCAGGACTAAGCAACGTCAAGCAGGTCTTTCAACAGTTCCTGCAGACTCATTTATTTCAAACCTATTTAATCCTGTCGGTTGGTTTGTAAGTCATTGTGCGACATCATCAAAACGAGAGTCATATGTTAAACAGCTTGCTAAATACGTCAACATTGATATATACGGTGCTTGTGGGAAATTGGTGTGTGGTTTTAAATTTAAAGAATGTTTGGATCGTTATAAGTTTTACTTGTCCTTTGAGAACGCTATATGCCGGGATTACATTACCGAGAAGGTTTTCAACATCTACCAGGTCGCTTCAAATACGATTCCGGTTGTACGCGGGTTCAAAGGTCAAGCTGCAATGTTTTTGCCCCCCGGAAGTTACATCAGCACGGATGAATTTTCGTCAGCAGAGGAACTAAGCAAGTTATTACTACAGTTATCAACTAATATAACATCGTTTCAAAGCTATTTTCGATGGAAACATTTTTATGAATCATACAGTTATGATCCAAATCCGTTCTGTACATTATGCCGGAAGTTACACCAGTCAGAATCTTATAGACGTTTGTATAATGATATCGAGGCTTGGATTAAGGGAGGAAATAAAGAATTTTGTGAAATAGTTGATGACATGAAATAATTTGTGAACCATAGTAATAAATTCTAGATTATCAATTTTCAGAACTAACACCATTTTTCAACATAGAAACTTATCTGAAGACAGGAATAAATTTAATGCTGCAGTTTTCAGGTCATAAAACCGCTTGAACTTTCATCAAAATCGCAACAATCAATCAAATATTCTTTCTTGTGATGCTTCAAAAAAAGTTTACTGCATATCCTAAGAAGATATGTAGATCAGCTACTGCTATTCATTGCTGCAATGTACATGTACATTCAAAACAATCCATTCAATACATATATTTACGTTACGGTGAACTACAATAAAAAAAGTTACAAAACGTTTAGTAATGTTAGTACTTTTGATATAAGTATTGGACAGAAAACCATAAAAAAGGAACAGCCAGAACTCCAGCCTACACACAAACTTCAAATGATCAACTTCCGCCGATCAGCTGATCTTGTTGAAACGAAAAATATATATCTAGAACCTATTAATAACTAACACTTGATATTATTTGATCTTATTTGATGGGTTTTTTTGCATTAAACACCACATATTACATATTTTAAAAAGTTTATGTCCGCACTATTTCAAATCATCGGTCACCATAGTAACCATCCAGGAAACCTGTCGCCATTAGGCATAGAACTCATTTAAAGTTAAATATACATCTGTGTTAATACAAAGTTTTCTGGGTTTCATGTGCAAGTTGATGTCACGGGGATTACCCAGACGGACGTTTGGTGTTAGAAAGTTCGTGACCACGAGGAATCTATTACGAGTAGGATGTCATGGTTTAATACGACAATGTAATAAAAAAAAATATATATAAAATAATATAAAAAAAGATAGTTGCAGTGTTTATTATTATTTCTCGCAACTACATTATCTCGGAGAAGGGGAGATAACTCTTCTCAGAAACGGTACTATGCGTAGTGATATAATTTGTCATTGTGTGTAAAATTAGCTGACTGGTTGCAAGAGACTCGTTGTATTCATAGTGTATGCATGGTCTAATGGCAGTTGTTTTCAGTAGGTAGATTCATGTACAGAACAAACATCAAGAATGTAAATATAAGAGTATGACATAAACGTGAAAGTTACAACTGTATGACGTCAATGGCACGTGCGTGAGACAGTAATGATAATACTATACAACATTTATATAGCGTCCTATATAATATGTAAAATGACTCTTAAGCGCTTTACAACATATGTATAATAGTATTTGTTATAATTATGAAACAAAAAAGGCTTACAATTACCATTATACATTAAGCAAGAAGATAATCATCGCAATGTGCACAGAAATGAATGAATAAAGGGTGGTAAAGTATTTACATGTTTGTGCAAATAGTCTAAAATGCAGACGTGAAGAGGTGAGTTTTGATGCCCCTCTTGAACCTTGCCAGGGTATTGGACTTTCTAATAACAGATGGTGGGCAATTCCAAAACGTGGTCGAAACCCTCCCAAAGCACCGGTTTTCATAGGTCACAGAACGAAATTTTGGTACACATAACAATGATTCTGACTCCGACCGCAGTGATCGTGACGGCTGATACGGAGTAACAAGCTCATGTAAGTAAAGGGGAGCTGTTCCATTAAGTGCCTTGTATGTTTACACAAAAATTTTGTACTGCGACCTGAACTCTCTGTTTCCGGTGTTGGAAGGGGATTGACGAAAACCCGTGATTTTGATTGGTTTGTATACTTCAATGAAGTTCAGGATCAAATGTTATTTTCGAATATCCTCATTATATGCAGAGAATATTACTTACCACAAAGAAGGTATTAACCAATGTATAAAACCTTAAAAACGATATTTATGACAATGCAATTTTCTGATAAATGACTATGAGGATTGATATCTGAATGTTAGAAATCCTAAGATGTCTCGTAAAAAAAGGAAATACTATAAACGAACAAATTTTAGTAATTAATAATAATTTGAGGTCCTTTTATACCGCTTTATCACAACCTAGTTCCTAGGTTGTCTTAAAGCGGTTTGATAAGTTGAAAGTATGGAATAGTGTCGGGATATCACTGCGCTGGCTGTGCTTGATGGTACCAATATCATGACCAATATTTAAAATTTATGATAAATTGTATATAATAGTAAGAGTGAATATGTGCATTATATGGATATGTTCAATATTGAGGATGTACATATATACACAGTCATGAAAAAGGAGAAATCGTTTTTGCTTTTTGACAATAAAATATGTTAAAACTAAGCGGTTCACAAATTATTATCAGTGGTGATAAGGCCTTTGCAACCAGCCAATAGCTTTCTCAACTCCCTGAGGAGCATACAGCCGGTGCTGCCATTTCGGCGCTCACAGCTAGCGTTCACCAATTCTAGATCTGCCCAACTACGTACTCATTTACAGCTAAATAGACTGGAACAACCGGAGTAAAGTATCTTGCTTAAAGATATAGCACAGTGCAGTGCCATGACGCGAACCAGCAACCCTTACGGTCACGAGCCATGCTAGACCACTAGACCACTAGATCGACCTGCCTCCCTAACAGCAACTGTTTTTCAGCGCTTTGCGCTCTTTAATTATTGAGTTTAATTATGAATGCGCCAGTTGAAGATGTTGTTTCTTGTCCTCTGTTGCAAAATGTATCATGGGAACATTTTCACTGCTGTTTAATTTTCGCCTTTTTTTCGCCCAATTTTCGCCCACTGTTTTTCAATTCATGCCGGTATGAATACAAATCGGTTAGACATATTCCATGAATCCCTGGCAGACGGTATTGAAATGTTTGTGTCGCGTCAGTGTAAACGATGGTTCATTGAACAGTCTAACATCACCAAAATGTTTGTGTCGCGTCAGTGTAAACGAATGTTCCTGGAACAGCCTAACATCGCCAAACTGTTTGTGTCGCGTCAGTGTAAACGAATGTTCCTGGAACAGCCTAAGATCACCAAAATGTTTGCTTCCAAAGGTCGTCTTATGCTAATTGAGGCAGACGAAGAAACTTCAAAATGACGCTGATCCAATTACGTTCATAGTTCTAGCTCGATCTATGAACGCAATTTCTTATGGTAATTTTTATAGAGGAACTTGACGAGGGAATATAACGTATATAGCAATTAAATGAGAAAGGCGAGATTTACACCGGGCGAGTTTAGATTCCCGCAGGCCAAGGGCAAAAGTTTGAATAGGCACACAAATTTCCTGCTATACAATATTATCGTGGTGCGCCAATTAATCAATGCGCTAATATGTTTAAATTCGATAATGTGCTGAAAATTGAGTGCAATAAAATAAGTACGTTTATAGTTTATTAGACATAAAAATATTGCGTATTTGGATTGGTGTTATACCAAATGGTTAAAGTTGACATAGCTATGCCTTACCTGTGCTGCTAAGATCACCAGTGTTTAAAGATCCCGCCCATTCCAGTATGGTGTTTCGTATTTCTACAAGATATAGCTGCAGTACAGTTGGACCAGGACACTTTCGTTGACTTGCAGCTGGTTAGAGTGATGCCAGTGCAATCTTAAGTTCAGGGTTCGAACCATTTAACGGGGCACTTTTGTATCTTGGCGTAGGATATTAATAATGTGAATGACACGTATGCCCTTGTTGGCATATTCGACTGTGATAAAATCCAAGCTACTGGATCATCGTATCTGTCCGTAGAAACAGGCTACAAGTTCAGGATGTGCCACTTATCGGTGGTTTTTTTTATCTTCATAGTCTCCGTGGTAGTTTCTAAAGATCTTCATGAACTCTTTCATTAGAATCCTAATCCTGATGTTCGCAATACATTCGAACATGGAGGAGACATAATACTATTTACTGCAAATACGCCGCAGTTTACTCGCCCCCCCCCCCCCCCCCCCCCTCCCCCTTTTCGCCATCCGTAATGAGGGCGAATTTATCATTACAGCAAATATTGACACCATTATATACATAATAATGTAATGTGAAGGGCGAAATCAACACTTAGCGAAAATGCATTTCATGGCCGAAGGGTAAATGTCTGACTGAGCGAAACATTTCCAGTATACAGTCATTCCTTAAGAGTTTCCAGAAGGTCTTCAAACATTGCATTGTATAAGGGATGGACTGGACTTTTGTAATGTCCAGTTTCCATGACTTCAATTTCGTCTCCTTTAATGATCAAACAAAGACGCTTCATTTTATGACTGCAATGCGCAGCAGTATCATGAAGTCCGGTCTCTTGTTCCTATTGTTGTGTTAAGGTACACTGGTTAGATCGATGATTAATTAACTAGTTTTACTAGAGCTTTGGTTACCTGTTCACTCGTCATACCAGCATAAGACTTTGGGTAGCGGCTATAGAAACCCATCTTATGCCTTTAAAATTTGTTTATGCATGTCACAAATTGCAGTCGTTGATTATATTTGCTGGTGATTGAATTCACTGAAGGTGAGTTCACGTTTGCAGTACGATGTATGATACAAATGTACTTTATATAGAGACTTGTTACGTCGGAGTCTTTTGATATTTTGACGGATGATGCGTGGTTGGGAAAAATTGTATGGTTGCAGACACTATTGACGCTACGTTGCCTAAAAGTAAGCCTACGACAAGACCCCGCAGGTAGAAAACCCGCGTATTCTTGTCAAAGGAAGAAAATGTAAGATTTATTAAGACTGGCTACGACGTGATCGCTAGCTTATTAAGAACAGTGTCTCTTTAACAAAGAATTCAGAATTACCCTGAACAGGCCTATACGCGCGCTTATAGTATAATGACTATTTTACTTGTTATCTAACTATTGTAAAGAGGAAAACAACGTCAAGCGTTCGCCCAACATCGTTATCATTCATATTCGCCAACGTTTGAGTGCACCTTTAAATAACTATAGATTGAAAGTGTGTGCTAATATTCGCCGTTAATACGAAGGGCGAAAAGGGCGAAAGCTACCATAAATGCTGATTTCATTCTTTACATGTGATTACCATAAATAATGTATTGTGTAATTACAATAAGTTGATATAATAATCCTAATTATTTTGTAAATGACCCTAGCGACTAAACAACGACTGTTCTGAGTACATCTTGACTAAATTAGATGAACAGACTACATGGGCTTTGTGAACAATGCTTACTTGCCGAAATAAACGCAATTTAAATTCCAATTTAATCCGCCTTGCTACTTCCAGTCGCCATTTTGTAAACAGGACCTAATCTCGAGCTGATGCGCGTTTGAAAGAGTTTAAAGTATTGCGAAGCTTCTAAACGATCGTGCCCAGAACATACTCTCTAAGGATGATGTTCTTGTTAAATTTACTATCAGTTATTTACTATATTTCTTTTCTGTATCACTTTCATTAATTCATAAAAGAACAAATTTATTTTTTCTCCTTCAATTTTTTTTCTTTCAAATGTTAAAACACCTTTTATTTGAAAAAAATGTTCTAGTTTCCAGATTATGATCAAACGTCGTCTGCTTCGCAAACATTCAAGAAAATAATATTTACAATGTATTGATATTTGTTTTATTAACTAGTTTATTCTTTAAACTATCTTTTATTAATAAATATCAAAATGATTTTGCATTTTATAACGTAACCGGAAGCGCACTTGATACGAGAACGTGACCCGGAAATAGCTCACAACATAATCAGGACAGTAATTATAAACAGACGTTTATCGAACATTAACAGATTAATACCGTATGTATTGAGACACTGATGTGCTAGAATCCAACACAAGGTAACACTCGTTTAATCCATTGCTATCACATCAAGTACTTACTGACATTTATGCGGAAATATCAGCATTAAATGTTTGCGATCGCGCAGACCTACTTTCGTTTTACAGTTAACATACATTTGTACATGTCGGCATCAAC